CTCTGTGCTCACTTGACAAGTTGTTTCAGATATCAGAATCAGAATACTTTATTAATCCTGAAGGAAATTAGGGTTACAGCAGGCAGCACGCTAATGGCGCATGCGCACTTACAAAGGAACCTTCTGACTAACTTTACACAAACATCACATTGAGGAGACATGTCAGAAAGGTAGGCTGATAGGAAAAAACAACAACGAAAATACATAACATGAGGTAAGAGGAGGAGAAAAAAAACTCCACTCAGACTGAGCTCCTAGTGGGATAACAGTTTGATAACAGAAAAAACACCTCAGCACAAAAAGCACATGACTATCAATACACCATAGAAACACAAGACAAGCAACAGGGGCGGGTAAAGGGTAAGAGAGAGCCGCTGTAGACAGCGCATCCGGTCCTGCAGCGTGTCTGCGCTGGTCCAGTCAACTGCCATCTTCCCCGGTAGGGCACAAGCATCGAAGGCGTATGGAAAGGGAGGGGGGAATCAGTGTGTGCATATCAGTGTATGTGTGTGTGTGTCCAGAGTTCAGCTGAGACAGTGTCCTTTGCCCCGCCAGGCTAAGTAAACAGTCTTCCAGCCAACCCAGGTGGCCTTGCATGGAATGGGGGGAACAGTCTAAACACAGTCGTTATCAGGGTGTTTTGTTCAGCTCCAGCATTGAGGCTGCAGCTGGAGCCGAAGGGGTCTCCGCATGAAGTGATGGTGGTTTTTACTTTAGTGCGAACAACTCATATGAATTTCAAAGCTGTTCTAACAGTCCAACACTAGTCTCTCAATTTCCCATTGGAGAGCTGTGAGCTTTCTATGATGTTATCCAAACTTACATTCTGTGATGTTGTCATTCTTGTGGTCAAAGAGCAAGTTCTGAGAACTAACGACCGCAGTGCACTTCCCCAAGATGTAATCGAATTTGCGCTCAAAGGTGTTATTCGAGCTAGCCCCTCCAGATGTAATCCAGTTTTTCACTCAGAGGTCTTGTTCTGAGTATTGTTCTCCAAGATCTTCTCCGTGCTGCACTCAATGAGCCCATTTTGAGAAACTCACGCCTCGTCCCATCATTTCAATCCCAGCGGGCAGCCTTGTGGGGGTTTGAACAGCCGGTTCCGCTTCCTTAATTCTTCGATAAGTCAGGGCCAAGCCAGCTCCGATCAGCAAGAACCCTGTTATCATGGTTCCAAATAGGTAGATATCTTCAGCAGTCAGGCTCACCCGAGCCCGGACTTCTCGTTGAGAAGGGGTGTCAATTGCATTCAGAGACCAGTTGATCAAATCCATAATTCATCTTTTAGGTTTTAGAGAACAGACTGTGAGAGAGTGTTCCAGGGAAAAGTAAGTAAAAACACAAGAGAAGACAAGGACATAAGAAGCTAAGCAGGGAAGATAAGGGCAGGAGAGGAGAAAAGTGCGACCGCCTTCGCTGAGAGCCAAAAGAGAAAAAAAAAAGAAAAAGCTAGTGGTCAGTCTTGGAGCAGTACAGTACAACAAAACAAACAAACAAAAAAATGTGCCTAGCGGACATAAGCCTGCGCATAAGCGCAGATGACAGTCAGGACCCGATCCCCAACCCTAAGGCGCAGAGAACAAACCCTCTCATCCACCGGGAAGAACCCCAACGTACAGGCAGCAAGCCAAGGGGATATTAGAATACCCACTCCAGCCCGCTGCCTTTCACCAGGGGCTACTTCAGACTGAGACAGAGTCCAGCCCCTCTCCAGGAGACTGGTTCTAGAGCCCAAGCCATCCGTAGAGGTGAGAAAAACTATATCTAGCCGGTACCTCTCAACCTCATGCACTAACTCAGGCTCCTTCTCCATGTCCCAATTGCCAGTCTTGGTAGCCAGGGATCGGTCTGCCAGGGCATCCGCTCCTGGCTGCCGCCCGGCACACAATGCGCCCTACCCCTATGGCACCACCCGCGGGAGGTGCCATAGGGGTCGAGATCGCGGAAACAAGCGCCGGAAATGAGCTTCTTCCGAAGGGTGGCTTGCCTCTCCCTTAGAGATAAAGTGAGAAGTTCAGCCATCCGGGAGGGGCTCAGAGTAGACTCGCTGCTCCTCCACATCGAAAGGAGCCAGCTCAGGTGGTTCGGGCATCTGACAAGGATGCTCCCGGGCACCTCCTGGGTGAGGTGTTCCAGGCATGTCCCACCGGGAGGAGACCCCGGGGCAGACCCAGGACACGCTGGAGAGATTATCTCTCGGCTTGCCTGGGAACGTCTTGGTGTTCCCCCAGACAAGCTAAAGCAGGTGACTGGGGAGAGGAAGGTCTGGGCTTCTCTGCTTAGGCTGCTGCCACCGTGACCCGGCCCCGGATAAAGCAGAAGAAAATGGATGGAAAGCAGTTCTGTTTTTTCCCTGCATTATATACATATATATTAATGTAGCATATGAGGTGTTGAAATGTTCTACAAATGGAGAACTGGGCCCAATTTGATTTAGTTACTTACCGCGGCTGCACTTGATCGCTCTCTTTCCCTACGAGAAGCCTGGGTTCGAGCCCGACTATCCTGAAGGGACATTTCCTGCCGTATACACAATAGATGGTTGGGCCAAATGCCGCGTCATGTGCCTGGTGGGACTGTCAATTGAGGACATCTGAGATATTGACCTATAAGGAACTGTTACACCCCAGCCCAGGGGAAACTGGCGTGCAACACAAGGAAAAAATTTTTTAAAAATGGTCGGAAAATACAGTGGTTGGTAGAGGATTGGACCCAAGGTACACTTCGAAATGCTGCAAGGCTAAAGCCTCATTTTCAATCGTGCCGTAATGTAGCTGGTGTTTTATACATTTTTTTAAAAGAAACAGACGGGATGGTCAACGTCATCTTCATCCTAATTGACCAAAATTAGCATTATCACACTAAAGAAAATCCCTTTGACAATTTGGCAGTACAAGTTATTGACGGACTTCTATCTGTCAATAACTTGTACTGCCTGAGATATTCATTAGAAACTTTTACTCAAGCTAACTTCCCTTTATTTCTACTGCTCTCCATAACTGATAATCTTTGGCAAATTCTCAAATAGTTCCATACAGAAATGTAATCAGTTTTTGCCAAAGGATACAAAATTCAATCTTAATTAAGCATTCATGTGTATGAGCAGTGCATGTAGAGTGATCAAATTAATATGTTGCATACCAGCATTCACTGATACATGTAACACTGTCTACTGGACACTTAGTTACAATTAGTATTGCTTTCCCTCAAATCCCTCGTCAGCCAGAAGTGACTGGTCACAAAACACGAGCTACAGCTGATTCCCATAGGGAGGACATGAAAATTCCTAGACACTCTGGGCTGGCTGTGTCTGCAGGTCTCGCCGCAAGAAACTGATAAGAGATTCGTCCTTTGGCAGCAATTACGGCTGATGAAAATTGCTTAAATATTACTACAAATAGCAGTGGAATTTTCTCGAAAGCTCAACATTATTCCCAACATACTGGATGTCAGTGTGGGCCTTGGGAGATGCAGGTCATTCAGATTGGCACCTTGGTGGCTGAATAAGCATTTGTCATTGTGGTATACCATATGGTGAGGCATGTACCAAAACTCACCATCAGTGCGAGCGGGTGTTTCAGTTTGACCAGAAGGTGATCTGTTCTGACATTCTGCTTCTCTCTGTGATCAGATGATGGGAATAATGTTTAGTTTTTAAGATTACACGGATGTTTGCACAGAACAGATAACACCATTCATATAGTCAACATATTTTACATAATATTAACATGACAATATTAACATCCACTTTGTTCTGCGTGCATAGATTTTAACCCATGTTGCACCAGTGGCCTTTTAATTATGAGTTTTATTTAGACTTTTAGTAAATAGCCATGCAATTCATGAAACAAGAATCAGGAGGTTCTGGTAGAATTCTGTTGCTTTTTATTGGACGGTTTGACTAAACTTAGAAAACATACAAAATTAATAACAGTTCAAAGGAAATCTTTCTACATGCTGGCTGCCAGCTTCAGACAGGCGTGTGAAATGCATATACTATTATTATATATTGTACATATATTTATTAGTTTCAGATGTAGCCATTCTTGTATTTTGCTTGTTTACATTATTGTATTTTGCACAACTCTGTTGCTTGTGAAGCTCGCACACAAGAATTTCACTCACATGTGCTGTACCAATGTACCTGCACATGTGATGTGTCAATAAAAGTGATTTGACTTGATTTGATTTTCCATGTCTTTTGTGAACATTTCAAACTGTGTAGCTCTAACAGGCGGTTGGCTAACACATACAGCACCACCTCATTACAACGATGAGAGGTTCCAGTGGAAAAAATACATACTGCAGTAACAATAAAGCAACAGCACTTTTTCCAGTTGTTACACTTATATCTTTCATTACAAGCAATTCATGTTAGAATACTTACAGAATTAAGCACTGCTACTTTTAACATGGACATCATACTAAAAAGTGTTGCTTAGGTAACAAACAGGCAATTCCCAGGATAAGTGTTCATATGGAGAGCCTTCAGTTTTCAGGCCCCTCTTCTGTGAAACCCGTTTCCAGTTTGGATTCAGGAGACAGACGCTATTTCTACTTTCAAGATTAGGCTTAAAACTTTCCTTTTTGCTAAAGCATATAGTTAGGGCTGGACCAAGTGACCCTGAATCCTCCCTTAGTTATGCTGCAATAGGTGTAGGCTGCCGGGGATTCCTTTCCGGGAGTTTTTCCTTTCCAGTCACCTTTCTCGCTCACTCTGTATTAACAGACCTCTCTGCATGGAATCAAATCTGTTATTAATCTCTGTCTCTCTTCCACAGCATGTCTTTATCCTGTTTTTCTTCTTTGCCCCAACCAGATGGCCCCGCCCCTCCCTGAGCCTGGTTCTGCTGGAGGTTTCTTCCTGTGAAAAGGGAGTTTTTCCTTCCCCCTTCGCCAAAGTGCTTGTTCATACGGGGTCATATGATTGTTGGGTTTTTTTCTGTATCTACTGTACAATATAAAGCGCCTTGAGGCAACTTTTGTTGTGATTTGGCACTATATAAATAAAATTGAATTGAATTGAATATGCAACACTTATGAGGTCATAACTGATCTAATGGACTTCCACACAGTAACACTGAACAGGAGATTAAAGCTGAATTCTGTAAAGCCTGATTAAGATTGACCCAGCAGAAGAGCATTGGTTCAGATCCCTCGTGTTTCTAGCGGTGTTCAAATGAACTTTGTCAGGATAATGTCCCATTAGTCTGCCACTTTTGTCACAGCAGGACACTTTGTAGGTTTGCTGATGCCTCAACAGGTTTGTGTTACGGATGAAAGACTTCACACTGCTCATATTTCAGTGGATTAACTTTAGTGTGGATGAGCTGATGATTTTTTAGATAATGAAACCTAGCACAAGACTTTCCACACTAAGCACAGTTGAAAGGTTTAACTCCAGTATGAATGAGCTGATGTCGTTTTAAGTTGCAACTCTGAGTAAAAGATTTTCCACATTGATTACAGATAAATGATTTAACTCCACTGTGGATGAGTTGATGTCTTTTTAAGTGACCAATAAGAGTAAAAGACTTTCCACACTGATCACAAACAAATGCTTTAACGCCACTGTGGATGAGCTCATGTTGTTTTAAGTCTCTTTTCTGATTAAAAGACTTTCCACACTGATCACAGTTGAATGCCTTGACACCAGTATGAATGACCCGATGTGCTTTTAAGTAACCAAGCCGTGCAAACGACTTTCCACAGTGATCACAGCTGAAATGTTTAGCTCCTGGGTGGATGACCTCATGGACTTTTAAGCTGTAACTGTGAGCAAAAGCCTTTCCACACTGACCACAAACAAATGGTTTAACTCCACTGTGGATGAGCTGATGCGATTTTAAGTGACCAATCAGAGTAAATGACTTTCCACACTGATCACAACTGAAAGGTTTAACTCCACTGTGGGTGAGCAGATGGACTTTTAAGCTGTAACTGTGAGCAAAAGCTTTTCCACACTGACCACAAACAAATGCTTTAACTCCACTATGGATAACCTGATGCGATTTTAAGTGACCAATCTGAGTAAAAGACTTTCCACACTGATCACAGCTGAATGCTTTGACCCCAGCATGGATGAGCTGATGTGTTTTTATGTGGCCAATCTGAGTAAAACCCTTTCCACACTGACCACAAACAAATGATTTAACTCCAGCATGGATGACTTGATGTCTTTTTAAGTGACCAATCTGAGTAAAAGCTTTTCCACACTGACCACAAACAAATGATTTAACACCAGCATGCGTGACTTCATGTCTTTTTAAGTTACCAATCTGAGTAAAAGCTTTTCCACACTGACTACAAACAAATGCTTTAACTCCACTATGGATGAGTTGATGTCTTTTTAAGTACCTTTTCTGAGTAAAGGACTTTCCACACTGATTGCAGCTGAATTCTTTAACTCCACTGTGGATGAGCTGATGTGTTTTTAAGTCGCTTTTCTGAGTAAAAGACTTTCCACATTGATCACAGCTGAATGCCTTGGCACCAGTATGAATGACCTGATGTGCTTTTAAGTGATCAAGGCGATTAAAAGACTTTCCACACTGATCACAGCTGAATGCTTTGACTCCAGCGTGGATGAGCTGATGTACTTTTAAGTTGCTACTCAGAGTAAAAGACTTTCCACACTGATCACAGCGGAACGCCTTGACACCAGTATGAATGAGCTGATGTCTTTTTAAGTTGCTACTCAGAGTAAAAGACTTTCCACATTGATCACAGCTGAATGCCTTAATACCAGTATGAATGAGCTGATGAGTTTTTAAGGGACCAAGTCGATTAAAAGACTTTCCACACTGATCACAGCTGAATGCTTTGACTCCAGTATGGATGAGCTCATGTACTTTTAAGCTGCTACTCCGAGTGAAAGACTTTCCACATTGATCACAGGTAAAGCTTCTGTTCCCACTATCAATGCACTGGCGTCTTCTGGGCTGCTTCATAGTGGTCAAAGGGACAACAACTGGATCTGTGCTTGCCGGCGTTGGCTGTTTTTTCCTGATGTCCTCAATGTGTTGAGGTTTTGGCCGGCTTTCCCACATCTCTCCTATAATGACAAAGAAATAAAACAGAAAACCAAATGCAGTTATGGTAAGAAGTAACCCATAAACTGTACAGATGTACACATGGCATTCTTAGAACCTTATTCAGATCAAAAGCATCCTCATAAATAAAATATCAATTTCAGAATTTTTAAAAAATATTTGTACTTCGCATTGCTTCTTAATACTTCTCCTTTAATGGTTTTTGTCTATTTCTACTACTATTTACACTGTAGATATATAGTGAAGATTAAAGACTCAAAGGGTTTATTGTCATATGTACAAGAAGAAAAAGCATTTCTCTGTGCAATGAAATTCTTTCTTTGCTGCCACACACACATGCCGGTTAAGTTAAGGGTTGAAAGAAAGTATGTATATATACACACAAATGACACCACATAAAATATAAATAATACAAATAAATAAGTGAAGATAAAATTTAAATCTGAGATAGAAAATAAACCCCCACGTATAAGCTTAAAAACACTACAAAAGACCAAGAATAAAGGAGGATTAGAACTACCTAACTTTCAGCACTACTTCTTAGCCAACAGGCTTCAGTTTACCTCAGGATGGCTAAAACATACCCTCTTAGATGAACCTTTGCTAGATGTAGAACAAGCACTTTGCAATAATCTAGAGCTTATCAGCTCAAACATCCAACAACATGAATGCTTCAAAAATTTAAACCAGGTCAAGTTGAACTACAAACACCACCAAGTGTGGTTCAATTTCTTACTCTTAAAACCCCCAAATTACTATCCAAAATATACAGAATGCTTTCTAAAACAGATGAATCAATATCACTTCCTATTGCAAAATGGGAAGCGGATTTATCAGTTAACTTAGACCAA